TTTATAAGCTGTTCAACTGTAGGAACCATTCATAAAAACATGAACATTTAAGACTCCACACACTCCCTACAGTTATTTTTGAACTAAGACATGGAAAGAGTTTTTAAACCAAATTAGAATATATTTTATTAATTTTCAACCGGCAATGTTTAAAATCTTAAGCAAAACCCTGTAATATTTTTAGTTATTTCCACTGCGAAGTTATGTTCTCTTGCCTTGATCCAAATTAATTTAGTTCTTTTTTTTATATTTACATTTATATTTTTCTTTAAATACTGTTCAGTTTACTTTTATTTCTGATTTGCATTTCTTATATTTGTGTTCATGTGAATGTACAACCATGACTGCATAACTGAAAGTGCTATAACTTTAAAGATAGAATAAATATATTATACAAATAATGAATGTTTATGAGTGCAATGGGATGAATATTTTTATGAGCTGAATGGAAAATTCAATCTTTTAGCGAATGAAAATATTCTTTCCAGTGCTTGAATAAAAAACATTCATTATTTGTTTTATAACACCTAAAATAGATCCTTGTAATTTTGATATTTTATGAAAATAATCTACCCTTTTTCTAAATGGAACAGTCCAGCATCTTTTTAGCCAATCAAAAAATTGTATTAGGTTGAAATCATATATTCTAGGTGCCATGCAATGAAGCAAAACGGATGGAACGAAAATGCATGGATGGAATTAAAAATGCATGGTGGAACTAATTTTCCATGATGAGTGATGAAATGGGATAAATAACTAATGTCATGTGATACAAAAAACACCAATCTAATGACAAGGATTTATTATAGGTGTGTTATAAAAATAAACACTGTTGAAATGTATTGTAATTTGGATGCTAAACTGCTGTTTTGTTTTTTTTTGTATTTTGGAAGTGATGGAGGCCAACAGGTAGGCGTGATGATGTCACTGGTGATTGTTAGTGGTCTTCTTCCATTTGTTGTCTGGGCAACGTGTTGTCTTACTTCATTTCATCACTGTGGAGACATGTGGTAAATTGTGGCACTTATGATTCATTGCAGTCATTCACAACTACTGTACTGTAATCAGGCATTTATGATTCATGGCAGCCAATCACAACTATTGTAATTCAGGCATTTATGATTCATCGCAGCCAATCAAACCACTGTAATTCAGGCATTTATGATTCATCGCAGCCAATCATAACCCCGGTAATTCTGGCATTTATGATTTATTGCAGCCAATCTCAACCACGGTAATCAGGCATAATTCATTGCAGCCAATCACAAGTACTGTAATTCAGGCATTTATGAATCATCGTAGCCAATCACAACCACTGTAATCAGGCATAATTCATCGCAGCCAATCACAAGTACTGTAATTCAGGCATTAACGATTCGTCGCAGCCAATCATAACTATGACTGTAATTCAGGCATTTTTAATTCATGGCAGCCAATCATACCAACTGTAATCAGGCATTTATGATTCATCGCAGCCAATCACAACCACTGTAATTCAGGCATTTGTGATTCATCGCAGCCAATCATAACCACTGTAATTCAGGCACTTATGATTTATTGCAGCCAATCACAACCACTGTAATCAGGCATTTATGATTTATTGCAGCCAATCACAACCACTGTAATCAGGCATTTATGATTTATTGCAGCCAATCACAACCACTGTAATCAGGAATTTATGATTCATCGCAGCCAATCACAACTACAGTAATTCAGGCATTTATGATTCATCGCAGCCAATCACAACCACTAAAATCAGGCATTTAAGAATCATCGTGGCCAATCACAACCACTTTAATCAAGCATTTGTGATTCATTGCAGCCAACTACAATCACTAAATCAGGCATTTAAGAATCATCGTAGCCAATCACAACCACTGTAATCAAGCATTTGTGATTCATCGTAGCCAATGACAACCACTAAATCAGGCATTTATGATTCATTGTAGCCAATCACAACTACTGTAATTCATTGTAATATTTCATCAGTCAGCATTGCATTAATATGTTCATTCTTTCATTCAAAAATCACACTTGCAATCTAACTCTAAATTGTGAGGCACAAAATGCATACTGTATATAAATCATGATATAATGGAGATAAACTTTAAACTGTCTTGCAGTAATGCTAATATATAAAGAAGAATGTGCAAGTGTGAAAAAATGGGTCCCCCAACTGGGATTTGAACCTAGGACCTGCTGTCTATGCAGATGCCTTAACCAACTGCGCCATTGAGCCTTTTTTGAGAATTCAAATCTGATTAAATTCATACACATAGTTAGACAGCACTAGCTCTTGATGCATGGCAAATAACAGATCAATATGACACACCTTATTTTTTATAAGTATCTGATGACAAGGCAGGATCTTCAAAGGGATATCTTTATATGTGGCAAAGACAAGCCAAACCAGTCACTCGTCGCAAAAATCGATATTGTGTTATTAATACAGTGTTAGAGAGTAAAATAATAGCTCTAAAATGGTAAAAAATAATTCAAATCGGACATTTCCTTATAAAGTTACAAGCATTCTCATGCAGAAACTATCTTTAAATCTTTAAAAAGTGTTGTTTTAACATTGAAAATGGGGAAAATAACAGCATAGGATGGTGTGCAGATATATAAAGGTTAGTTTAGAGCAATAAAATAGATTTTTTTTAATTTGACATTTTAGCATGATTTGGCCTTTTTTTCTGAAAGACGATTTGCGAAGAGTGACTGGTTTGGCTTGTCTTTACCACATATTATACACTTTTTACATTATATATTAGATACTATGTCAAGGTAAGAAAAAATATGGCATGTCTAGTTGGCCAGAAATGGCACTCTAAAACTTAAATTTGAATACAATTTTATTTTTTTCTCCATTTTTATAAATTTAAGAAATTTAGGGGGTGGTGGTGGACTAGCTGGCTGTTAAAAAAAGTTGTATTTAACAAAAAAAAAATGTTTTAATTGTTAGTTAAAAGCTGCTAAAGTATTTTGAAACTAATGGTACTATATAAAGTTTTATTTAAATAATGAATTGTTTGTTTACTCCTCAGATTTAATTTGTGGTGTAACAAAAAGTTTTAAATGTTAGTTTAATTGTAATTAATTTTTTTTTTTAATTTAAAAATATAAATAATTTTTTATTTAATTAAGTTTCAATTCTGTAATTGGCAAAAGTATTTGGTTGTCAAACAAACCAATACAGTAAATAAATATAAGAATATTTACGTATTTGCAAGTCGTCATTGTATTCATTTCTGTCATTTTCATAACATTCAAATTAACTTGCGCATAGAAATTATTAAATTAAAAATGTGTGTACCCTAATTTTTATACTGGATAATAATATAAAATAAAAAAACTACTTCTATAAATTTTCAACTGTAAAATTATGGGTATACATTTTTAAATACACTAATTTCTAAATTCAAGTTGATAATTTTTATTAACTCCAAAATGAACTACTTAAAATATGATCTTAAGATTTTTTATGATTTTCAGTTTTTGTTTTTTGTTTTTTTTTAAACTGAGGTAACATTTGACATATATACTATATCTGGTATGTTTGAACACTCGCACAACACATGGAAAGCATTCGTAATACCAATTAACGATACGTCACAGTGGGATCTTGAAAGTGTTATTCCTCCCCTCGGTTGACTCCGCACGTTAAGAGCCCTCTTGGCAACATGGATAATTATGTGTTGACCTGTCTCTTATACACATCTAGATGTGTATAAGAGACAGCCTCAGCACCTTGCCTTCTCTTGTGTAAAATTCGATTTCCTGAAATTCTGTGCAAATCTCTTATGGATTCAGTACCAAGATCCTCTCCTATATTAAAGAATATCAGAATAAAAAACCAAACACATCAGTTAAATACCGGTAAATGAAATGGCACTGAATACATTCAAAATCATCAAGCTTGCTATTCATAAGGTTCATCAGTCATAAAATTAACTTACTACCCCATACCACACAGAGGGTCGCAAGACAAAATGAAGAAAATGGTTGGCTGTTCATGAAATAGGGGGAGGGGGGCAGGCACAAACTTTATAAAAGTTAAGTGGTGAACACCAGTTTGAAGAATTTAGTGGCAAAATGGGGAGGGTATGTCCCCCATGCCCCATCACTGGCTAGTTCTAATATAGAAAAAGGTTCATTAATACTTTTATAACAGGACCAGCATTCATAAGGTTCACTAGTCATAATCAATAAAATAAAGCGTTTGTTAGTTAAAAAACAAAATTTTAAAATAGTTTTGTCATTGCTTTGGGAAAAGCTAATAATAAATTATTTTATCATTATTCTTGATTTTGTTACTGATTATTAATATTTTTCTTACCTGAGAGAACATGATATTTTCGCATAGGCTTTAAAGGTCTCTGCATGCCTTCTCCCCGTTGTAAGCCGAGCCTAGAGTGCGTATCAGCATAAGAACTCCAAAAATTTAATTTATTTCCTTTACGAGTCAACACTGCTTGCATATCACTTCCAACCAGACTGTGACTTCTATTAATTAGTGCAGGATACCTTAAAGATGATGGCTGTAACCATAAAATAAAGTCTATAAACTACTGTCTTGAATTGCAAAGTATTACAGTATAAGCCTGTTTTCCATCAAGTGAACTTAAAAGCATTTGTTCGCTTCCTATGATTGGTTGCACCTTTATTCGCTTCGCAAAAAGTAGAAACAGTTTTATCAAATATTATTATATTATTGACTTTCAATATCATATATATTATGAATGCATTATTTTATTCCTGTATGTTTTTTGTCTATTTTTGGAAAATTTACCTATTGTTTTGATACGCTCGCTACAAGTGTCAAATATGTATTCTTTTTATTACCTCACTTGGCGTTCCTTTATGAGCACCCCTTTTAATCAAATCAATTTCTTGCCTTCAAGTTTGTTGATCTATTGGCTTTTTAAAATTTTTAATTTTAACAACTTAATTTTATTGTTGGATTGTTTGATTTGGAAGAAATTAATGTTTATTTGAATTGACTTGCTGAAAAATAATTATAGTTAAAGTTTATGGCACTATTGTTCCCCCACTTCCACAAACAGTTCTTTAAATATCATATACAGTAATCAGTAAAGATAACCAGCCAAAGATTAACAATGGATTTCCATGGCTCAGCACACACCCAGTGGGTGTTAACAGTTTAGCTGACTGGCTAAGCTGCCCTCTTGTGAAATTCTCTCGTATTACACCATAGAGCTATTAAATAATATTCTTATTATATCTCTATGTATTACACTTACATGTTCAACAAGTTTGTCCGAAAAAGATTTCTTGTAGAACGTACCAAAGTACCTTTTGTCGCTCATATTGATATCAAAATGAGAAGCGTGAAGTGTTGGACATCGACCTGACCTCATCCCTGCTGGTAGAGTTTTTGAACCTGCAAAAGCCTGCAATAAGAATGTTTGTGTTATTTACTATGTATGAGGTTGATTAAGAAGTTCATTTTAAACTAAGCCTACGCCGCACCTGAGCCTAAAAAAAAATTATAATAATGAATAAAAAAATGTGAGGTAAAAAATAATAGACGATGGTCTTTTGCCGGAGTTTCTATTGAAAAAAAAAAATTTATGCAGAAAATATTTGAAACAACGCAATAAACATTCATGATTAAAACCATTTACAGTAATTAAGGCCTACAGTACTTTATACAATAATTATTAATATTAATATTAATTTATTTATTAGGCCTATAATAAATATAAATTTAATTTTTTTCATAAATACAATTCTTCCATCATGATCCAGCCAGGCCTAAAATTAAAAAGACAGTGTATGGTCAGCTATGACTCGTATATTCTAAACATGAATTACTGTATTTACCGATTTTGAGGACGTTTTGTAGAATGTGCTTGCATCCGGTGATTCTAAATTAAAATTGATGGTTGTGCGATGCATCCATCTGTTTGAAGTTGGTTCCCGCATAAACATCGACGCAGACTTCCTCGTTTGGGCTCTACGTTCTTCATAGGGAGTTATCACCGTAATGTTTTCTGATCTGTTTGACAAGATTGTACCAGTAGAATGTCCCTGTCTGGACACATTCTGAACATTAGCCATCGGCTAGCAGAGTCAGACCCTGACTGCTACTTGCACTAAGTCACAAATCTGATTGTACCAAAGTGGAAAGAACACCAAAACAAAGAAAACCTAAATTACGCTACAGCCACAACTCACTTTAATACCCAACCCTTGTTTGGCAAGCAATTAATGAAAGCGTGGTTAACAACAACACACACTACCAAAACAACATCTGTTCAAAATTTGTTATATAAAAAAGAATTATTTGTTAAAATAACTTCTAATTAAAAGAAAAATTAAATTTAAAAACGATTTTTACACAGCAAATATTTTTATTAATAATAAGTTAACATACATTTTCATTTTAACGGTAAAATCTTTTATCTCTGAAAAACTTTAATATTATTTTGTCTGCTTATTCTTTACGTTTTGTAGCACGAGCGCCCCCTTGGCAACGATCACAAATGTAAAATTAATAGTAAAATATGTCCGTAGTCAAAAAGGTCCCAATAGGTACTTCATTTTAACTATCATGGAGGAAGAACATAAAGAGGAGGTAAGTTATGTCACTAAACAATACCTAGATCTTAGTTCTGTGTTTTGTGAAATACTTGTAAAATGAGTAAAACTGAAACAAGCTTTGTTATTTGTGTAGCTAGCCTCTAGCCTAGCCTACTAGGCCTGGCACTACTACTAGCTAGCTAGCCTAGGCTAGCTAGGGCCAGGCGGCTAGGCCTAGCCTAGTTAATTAACTTAATTAGAAACCATAATTATGGAAAAATAAATGGCTTATAATTTATATGAAAGTCAAATCATCAAAGAACATGTTAGTGTTGAATAATTGTAAGTTTTAAATATCAATTACAATCAATCATACAGACAGACAGCATTTATACATATTTAACTGGCATTAAATAAATTATTTAAATATATTATATGTAGGGTCCTTGGCCTATATATCGTTAGGGCCTATCCTAGGTAGACCAGGCCCAACTAGGCTATCGGCCCAACTAGGCTATCGGCCCAACTAGGCTATCGGCCCAACTAGGCTATCCTGGAGCTGTAAGGTCACAGAAATAGCCTAGAGACATTTAGTTTTTAAAAAAAATTTATAAATTATGTGTTGACTTGCCTAAATATTTAAACTGAATTTGTTTTAAACTCATTGCAGCTTTACAATAATTGATCTACTATAATGCTTTCTATTTTAGATGCCTGTAGTTGAGGAACCACAAGTTACTACAGAAGAAACTCCCACCAGTCAACAAGAGGCCACCAGTCAACAAGAGGCCCCTACAGAACTGGAAAATGGCAAAGACTCTCCAACAGCTGAGGTTGAAATGGCATCAGATGAGAAAAGTGTACAAGACTCTGAAAAAGGTTAGTTTTGTTTGACATGGTAAACATCGGTAACTACATTCCTCATAAAATTTATGTAAATTATTGATCATGGGCTGTGTTTTCATTTAGGTCTAGAGTTACTTCTTTAGTTGTTTGATATTATTTTATATGGTTACAACAAGGATAGTTTAAGAACTCATCTAGGAACCATCGTAATCTTATACATAACAATATCATGTCACTAAAATTTGGATGATAGAGTGATGCACTTGAAACCTCACACAAGTCTAGTTGAGAGCATCTACGTCACGAACGCGGACCAGATGTGTAATTTCAGAAGTGGGTTATTATGTAACTGATCAGTTATAAAATTATTTAAAATTGTTAAACTTTTCAAAAATGTTTGTCTCAAATTACTCATTTGCAGTTGTATAAACTATTATATGTAGGAGCGAGTTTGGCATGAGTGCATGGGTGTAGACTGGAGGGTGCATACCCCCCCCCCCCTCCCCCCCCCCCCCCCCATGGCAGCAAAAAAGTTTCAACTAAGGTGGTTAAAACACTAAAAATGACCCATTAAGTTATTATTGGAATAGGATTTTAGTTCCGCATATTTTTTTTTGCATCCAGTTACACATTTACAATTGAATTGTGTGAAGCATTTTTGTAAAATATAAAGTTTGGCAAACACTTTCTTTTAAATCCCTGTCTGAAAACAAGGAGGTGAAAAAGTTGCAGATGTAAACACTGACGCAGTAGAAGATGCCGATAATAAAGAATCCGAAGACCAAGAAGTCGAATCTAATGAAGCAAAGATTGAGGATGCACCAGCACAAGTAGCTGAAAATGGGGAAGATAAAGATGGAGGTAATGGTGAAGAAAATGATGGTACTACTGAAAGAAAAGAGGAAACTGAAGGTGGAGACCAAACCAGCCCAGGAGAAGGTTGTAGGCCCTATTCTCTGTTTCTTAAAATTACCTGAATATTAGAATGAACGATTTTTTTTTTTTATAAAACCCTGTGCAGACTGTTAAATTTTATTTGTCAAAAACATGTGACATGGCTAAATATGGTCATGATGACATCACATGACCATATGCACATCATGACTATATATGGGCATACAGTAGGGTTTTTTTATCAAATAAAATTTAAGTCTCGACAGGGCTTTATGTTATGATTTTATAAGGATTTTGTCAGAGCTCACCTGATATTAAAATTTATAATTGTGTTAAATCTAATTTACACAGAGGAAAATGAAGAGGATCAGGTGACAAAGACTGGGTCACAGCCTGATCCACAACAGCAGACAGCTGAGGAAGAAGAACCCAAGTCCCCCTTACCAGAAAGCAGTACTTTTGGTGAGGGTGAAAGGCCTGAGACACCAGTTGTTGCTGTTACTGATCCCCTGTCTAGAGAAGGTAGCCCTGTTCAAGAACCACCTCAAGCAATTCCACCAGGAACACCTGAAAGAATAAGTAAGTTTAGTAAGTCGCAGACAGCTGCTTTAATAAACCGAGGCTTCCCATCTCATGGTGGTATTATAGGCCATCCCAAAACCAGTGTACTGTCGCTGATTCGAAAACTGAGTACAGAAATTAGCATACGAACATGGCAGTATTGTAGACATTAGTACTGAGATGCTGTAATACTTTTACTCAAACCTTTGGCAATAGTAAGTCGATTCCAGTAACTGACACATCATATTTAAGCTTTCAGTCTAGCCCAGCCTAGCCTAGCCTAGGCCTAGCCTACCCCGCCCATGGTCTGGCCGAGGCTAAGTGGATAATATAAGAATTTTTTTTTTGGTCACTGATGCTTGTGGTATTAGGATGGCAAGCCTCAATGTGATTACATAATGATTTAGCCCAAACACTCAACATTTTTTATTTATTTTATTTATTTATTTTTTTCTTCAATAACAGGATCTCCCGTCATAGAAGAAGATAGATATGAAGAGGAGGAAGTAGAGGAAGAGGATCAGTTGGAGCCAAGAGAAAAAATTGTAGAACGCTATCAAGTAAGATTTTGAACTCCTGTATTTTAAATAGGAAGCCCTGGAGAACAGAGCATTGAAAATGGTCCTACTTTTTTGCCGTTTTCATTTTGAGTTTTCCACATGTAGGAAATTACATTGATGACATTACATTACGCTTTGGGGTGTTTATTGTTGAGAATGGTTTTCAGGGGACGTTTATTCGAGGGAGGCATTTATTTTTTTGGATTTAAAGTGTATAAATATTTTTTTAATTTAATTTCACTGTAAATGTGGAACTGCAACAACAAAAATTACCGTGTCAAAATGCCTATTGTGTGATCATACTTATTGATCCCTTTACCAGGTTAGATAAAATATTAATAGAATGTGTTGAGAATGATGTTGCTTCCATTAGTTTTGTTTACAGTCATTTGTGGGGGTGGGAGGGAGCGTGTTCATTCAAGGAAAAATAAACACCCAGGTTGAGGGAGGCATTTTTTCCAAGTGTGGCATTTATTGGAGGTGTTTATTCAAAGCAGGGTGTTATTTGAATATATGGTAGTTATTCCCTTTTGTTTATGTAAAGCACTTTAGCTTGGTTCCTATACATTCGTTACAGGCTATCGTTGACAGCTTTTGGTGATGCTGATTGATTAGTTGAATCAGGAAGCTTTCTCATTTGCGCCGGAGACTGCTACGCAATACAACGATTGCAATGAAAAATTGTAGCGATTTTAAGCAAATTAGGCTAGAGAGGCAACTTTATTGTATTATAAGATAGCATTATACCAAAGATACTAGAAATACAAGATAGAGCACTCGCATTGCAAAAATGAGGCAGAAATTGGTCTGTGGAGAACTCTATCTTGCGTTTCTAGTATCTTTGATTATACATATTCCAATTATTGAAATTCATGCCATCCTGTTGGGATTTGAATCAACACGATGGCGTGCATTTCAATACTTGGAGTATGTATTATACTATCTTATCTGTGATTAATCAGTGGACCTTTTGGTTATTGTAGTATGTGCTATAAGACTTACATATTATTACTGTATTGTTATTAAATCCTTGTTTATTTAAGGCAGCCATTGCAGAGCGAGAACAACTGTTGACAACCAATATGCAGTTTCAACACAAACTAGCCGAGTACTTCAGAAAGAAGAAAACTGATGACCAACGTCAAGAGATGGATAAGAATGTAACAGACCAGGAGCAACGCTACCTCAAATACATGTGTAAGTATTTAATTTACGTGTCTTTAGATCACTTATATTCATCTATTCTACACATGTACCAGCTTGAAAACTAGGCTCACCAGGCCCGTAGCCAGCATGCTTCAAGGGGGGGTTCTGGGCGTGGGGTCCAGGGGCCCGCCAAAGGGACCCGGGTGGGGTCAAGGGGGACAAAGCCCCTGTTGGGGCCGGGGGCGAAGCCCCCAAAGCCAGAGCATTTATACGATTTTAAAAGCATGTACATGTCATTTAAATGCATGTTCATGTATATTTAAATACTAAGACTACTTTTTCCAATACAGGATTTAGAACGTAAATGTTTATTGTGAAACAAACTTTTTTTTTTATTAAAAAGCAATGCTTAACATTTTAATGCTACTATGTAATGTTATCTCTAAAAATATAACTGGGATAAAATTAGCAATACTCACTAGGTGACTGTACTAAACACAGACCTTGCACATTATGAGATCGCTAAATACCAATATTAAAATATGGAGGTATGTAAAAGGTCTTTGCTTAAAAGAGAAATATTGCAAATAATATTTTATTTATTGCAGAAATGAATAAAAACAATAGGAACTGACAGCCCTAAATTTTACTTTATTACCAAAATAACTTAAATGTTAAGTTCCAATATATATATATAATTAGGGCAAGGAAAAATGTTATTATATTTACAAGTTACAGAACCATTTATGTAAATATACTTGCACAGTAATATTGAAAAAAACAGACATAATTATAATGCTACAAATGTACACGTTTAAGAACCAGTTTATGTAAAAAAATTAGCACAGTGAAAATAAACAATAATTTAAGAGCTGTCTTGGTTTAAATGAGATATATTGAGAAAAAAATAATAAATATATTATTATGAATAATGTCAGTTAATTCTGACGAAACGTGAAAAGATTACCAAGTATATTTCCTTGCTAGCCTAGGCTCGATTACAAAATAAATAATAAAATCGTTCGCAAATAATAGACCTCATAGGCTACGACCCTACCCTACCTAGCAACGCTAGACCTAGGGCCTAGGCCTAAAAAGTACACCGGTCCCGCCGCCAGGCAGTATCATGAGCATGTGGTGAAAACAAGGGTGAATTTTCTAACTTCTTAAATTTCGTGATTTCTTCGTTGCTGGCCTTGAAGCAAAAAAATCAGTT